ACAAATCGGCTGTGGGTGAGGGGGACACATCAGTCGTTGGTGGAGGAGAACACATATCAGTTGTGGTTGGAGGAGAATACGAATTAGTTGTGAAACACTAATTCGTTGTAGGTGTGTGTGTGTGTGTGGGGGGGGACACTTATCAGCTGTGGGTTGAGAACGCTAATCAGTTCTGTGTAAGGAGGACACCAATCAGTTGTGGGTGGAGGAGAACACTAATCAGTTGTGGGTGAGGAGGACACGAATCAGTTGTTTGTTGACGAGAACACTGATCAGTTGTGAGTGGAGGAGAACACGAATCAGCTTTAGGTGAAGTAGAACACTAATCAGTTGTGGGTGGAGGAGAACTCGGATCAGCTTTAGTTGGAGGAGAAAGCTAATCAGTTGAGGGGTGAAGAGGACACGAATCAGTTGTGGTTGGAGGAGAACACGAATCAGTTGTGGTTTGAGGAGAAAACTAATCAGTTTTAGATGGAGGAGAACAAAAATCAGTTTTATGTGAGGACACTAATCAGTTGTGGATAGAGGAGAAGTGTTATCTGTTGTGGTTGAAGGAGATCACTAATCAGTTGTGGTTTGGGGAGAACACAAATCAGTTTTAAGTGGGGGTGAACACTGATCAGTTGTGTGTGAGAAGTACACTAATCAGCTGTGGGTTGAAGAGAACTGTAATTGGTTGTGGGTTGAGGATGACAGATTTAGGTGGAGGAGAACACAAATCAGCTGTGGGTGAGGGGGACACTAATCAGTTGTGGGTAGAGGAAGACACTAATCTGCTGTGGGTGGAGGAGAACACTAATCAGTGGTGGGGAGGAGGACACTTATCAGTTGTTTGGGTGAGGAGAACACTAATCCGTTCTGGGTGAGAATACTAATCATCTCTGGGGAGGAGACCACTAATCTGTTGTATGTGGGGAGTAACACTAATCAGTTGTTGTGTGATAAGGACACTTATCATTTGTGTGTGAGAAAACTAATCAGTTGTTGCTGGAGGAGAACACTAATCAGTTATTGGTGTAGGAGAACACTAATTCGTTGAAGGTGGTGAGGAACAATAATCAGTTGTGTGTTAAAAAATACAAATCAGCTTTAGGTGGAGGAGAACTCCAATCAGTTGTGGATGGGGAGAACACTAATTAGCTTTGGATATAGGAGAACAGAAATCTGTAGTGGGTGAAGGAGAACACTATTCAGCTTTAGTACAACACTAATAAGTTGTGATTGGAGGAGGACACTAATCCGTTGAAGGTGAGGAGAACACTTCTCAGTTATGGGTGAGGAGAACACTAATCAGTTGTGGGTGAGGAGAACACTAATCGGTTGTGATTTGAGGTGAACACGAATTAGTTGTGGACGGAGGACAACGCTAATCAGTTGTGGGTGGAGGAGAACACTAATCAGTTGTCGGTGGGGGAGAACACAAATCAGTTGTGGGTGGAGGACAACACTTATCTGTTGTAGGTGGGGGAGAACACTAATTCGTTGTAGGTGGGGTGGAACAATAATCAGTTGTGTGTTGAAAACACAAATCAGTTGTGGGCGGAGGAGAACACGAATCAGTTGTCGGTTGAGGAGGACACTAATGGGTTGTGGGTGGAGGGGAGCACTAATGAGTTGTGGTTGAGGAGGACACTAATTAGTTGTGGGTGAGGAGAACACTAATCTGTTGTGTGAGGTTGAGAACACTAATCAGTTGTAGGTGGGGGAGGAAACTAATCAGTTGTGTGCGAGGAAATCACTAATCAGTTGTGGGTGGAGGAAAACACTTATCTGTTGTGGGTGGAGGGGAGCACTAATCAGTTGTGGGTGAGGAGAACACTAATCGGTTGTGATTTGAGGTGAACACGAATTAGTTGTGGACGGAGGACAACGCTACTCAGTTGTGGGTGGAGGAGAACACTAATCAGTTGTCGGTGGGGGAGAACACAAATCAGTTGTGGGTGGAGGACAACACTTATCTGTTGTAGGTGGGGGAGAACACTAATTCGTTGTAGGTGGGGTGGAACAATAATCAGTTGTGTGTTGAAAACACAAATCAGTTGTGGGCGGAGGAGAAAACGAATCAGTTGTCGGTTGAGGAGGACACTAATGGGTTGTGGGTGGAGGGGAGCACTAATGAGTTGTGGTTGAGGAGGACACTAATTAGTTGTGGGTGAGGAGAACACTAATCTGTTGTGTGAGGTTGAGAACACTAATCAGTTGTAGGTGGGGGAGGACACTAATCAGTTGTGTGCGAGGAAATCACTAATCAGTTGTGGGTGGAGGAAAACACTTATCTGTTGTGGGTGGAGGGGAGCACTAATCAGTAGTTGGTGAGGAGGATACAAATCAGTTGTGTACGGGGAGAACACTAATCAGTTGTTGGTGAGGAGGACACTAATTAGTTGTGGATGGAGAACACTAAAGAGTTGTGGGTGAGTAGGACACTCATTAGTTGTGAATGGAGGAGAACACTAAAGAGTTGTGGGTGAGTAGGAGACTAATCAATTGTGTGTGACTAGAACACTAATCAGTTGTGGGTGAGGAGAACACTAAGCTGTTGTTGGTGAGGAGGACACTAATTAGTTGTGGATGGAGGAGAACACTAAACAGTTGTGGGTTAGTAGGACACTAATTAGTTGTGGATGGAGGAGAACACTAATCAGTTGTGGGTGAGGAGGACACAAATCAGTTGTGTGCGGGGAGAACACTAAGCTGTTGTTGGTGAGGAGGACACTAATTAGTTGTGGATGGAGGAGAACACTAAACAGCTGTGGGTGAGTAGGACACTAATTAGTTGTGGATGGAGGAGAACACTAATCAGTAGTTGGTGAGGAGGATACAAATCAGTTGTGTACGGGGAGAACACTAATCAGTTGTTGGTGAGGAGGACACTAATTAGTTGTGGATGGAGAACACTAAAGAGTTGTGGGTGAGTAGGACACTCATTAGTTGTGAATGGAGGAGAACACTAAAGAGTTGTGGGTGAGTAGGAGACTAATCAATTGTGTGTGACTAGAACACTAATCAGTTGTGGGTGAGGAGAACACTAAGCTGTTGTTGGTGAGGAGGACACTAATTAGTTGTGGATGGAGGAGAACACTAAACAGTTGTGGGTTAGTAGGACACTAATTAGTTGTGGATGGAGGAGAACACTAATCAGTTGTGGGTGAGGAGGACACAAATCAGTTGTGTGCGGGGAGAACACTAAGCTGTTGTTGGTGAGGAGGACACTAATTAGTTGTGGATGGAGGAGAACACTAAACAGCTGTGGGTGAGTAGGACACTAATTAGTTGTGGATGGAGGAGAACACTAATCAGTTGTGGGTGAGGAGGACACTAATCAGTTGTGGGTGAGGAGAACACTAAACTGTTGTGGGTGGAGGAAAACACTAATCTGTTGTGGGTGGAGGAGAACACTAATCGGTTGTGGGTGAGGAAGACACAAATCAGTTGTGTACGGGGAGAACACTAATCAGTTGTTGGTGAGGAAGACACTTTTCAGTTTTGGGTGGAGGAGAACACTACTCCCTGGTAGGTGTAGAGAAACACTAATCAGTTTTGGGGTGAGGAGAACACTAATCCGTTGTAGGTGAGAACACTAATCAACTGTGGGTGAGGAGAACACTAATCTGTTGTATGTGGGGGAGGAAAACGAATTAGTGGTGGTGTGATGAGGACACTAATCAGTGGTGGGGAGGAGGACACTTATCAGTTGTTTGGGTGAGGAGAACACTAATCCGTTCTGGGTGAGAATACTAATCATCTCTGGGGGAGGAGAACACTAATCTGTTGTATGTTGGGGAGGAACACTAATCAGTTGTGGTGTGATAAGGACCCTAATCATTTGTTGGTGAGAAAACTAATCAGTTGTTGCTGGAGGAGAACACTAATTCGTTGAAGGTGGGGAAGAGAAAACTAATCAGTTGTGGATGAGGAGAAGACTAATTAGTTGTGGGTGGAGGAGGACACTAATCCGTTTTGGGTGGAGGAGAACATTAAATTGTTCTATTTGAAGGCAAACATTAATCAGTGAACATAAAACCGTTGGAAGTGGTGGATAACGTTAATTCGTTGAAGGTGGGGGTGAACAATAATCAGTTGTACACGGATGAAAACATAAATCTTTTTTGAACAAATATTACTTAGTAAAGGGGAAGAGGACGATATACTGGGGATTATTTTTTTCCGCGGTGCATGTTGTCCTACTGCATACCCGTGTGGGGAGTGAACGTGACCCGGCTGCACTGAGATGGCCAAGAACTCTTTTGTACTGCAAGGTTGTGATTGTTTTAAGTTTACCTTTTGATTGCAAACGGCCCATGTTTATTGTGAGCCATAAACCCCTCTAATCGACTTCTGCGTGATTTGTTGACATTCTTATACTGTGGTGTAAATTTATACTGAAACCAGTTATCCTCAGAAGCTGATTAATTTTCATTTTATGTGTCCATGCACCGTGAATTGAATTGATAGGAACAGCAATGAGTGATAAAGATTTAGTTTCATGAGATCTGTTGTTAAAAGGTTGTTTTCCCGTCAGGTTAACTCTTAACCAACTGGCAAATACTGAACGATATAACGGATATATTTTTTAGCTTTACAGATAACGATTACATATATCTTTCAGTTGAATTTCTAAAATGTCCATGATTACTGACTTATTTTTCTCTTCTTTCTTGAACTATATACATATAGACCATACAACACCTATCAATTCGCCAAAAATCGACAAAACCCGTAAATACAATGTAATATGTTAGGGGAAATATGATGTGTTGGTGAGACATACTCGGAAAATTCATACGATAGTAGTCATACAGGGAATGAATTCGACCCAGGGACAACTGAAAACGCAAGTCGGCCCTCTCACATATAAATAAACCCCGGAGTGTCCCTGGTCACAAAAGAATGTAATGTAAGCTATTCAATACGTTGCTACAATCATAGATTATCCGTCTGGGGCTTAATGACGGCGGTTACTAAGCGTAACCAGGGACGCTTATTGGAAAGTGACGCTGAGCACTTTGACGCGCATTAGAGCAGACGGTTTCCGTCAGCGGGTTTTACAGATCGATCTCCATGGTCATATGGGTGTAGCGGAGAGCCTGTCGAGCGACAGTGTGATATGGAACAGCGTAGTAACAAACTTCGCTGGTGATAGGTAAGTATTGAATTTAACAATTTAAGTAGTCCGAAAAGGGTCCATTTCATACCATTAAACATTAACATGCTCCACGTGAGGCATGTACTGTCCTGGAACTATGGTTTGAATGTTCTTGCGTATAATAAACAATAACACTGAAATATTGATGGATATCAAGGACGCCACACAGTAACACAGGGCGCCAACCTGATAAGTGAGAAGCATGACTGATTCGTCAGAATAATAGTTTCTGAGTAGTAGATGAATCAAAGTTAACTGCCACTGAACCTATTAGATATGTAGTGATGTGATTGTGATATTCGCTAATATCAAAAAGGCTCCAAGCCAGAATGACTACGTGTCCTATTGTAGTCACACACCCACACACACACACACACACACACACACTCTCACACACACACTCTCACACTCACACTCTCACACTCACACACTCTCTCTCTCTCTCTCTCTCTCTCTCTCTCTCTCTCTCTCTCTCTGTGCATCCTCCACTGATGTAGACTCTAAGATATTTTTCCTCAGGCTGCCTTGGAAACCAAACTTTGGAAGGAGGATAGATAGATAGATAGATAGATAGAATCTACTTGTGCTGATACTTGATATATATCATCTGCTTCTAAAGCAAACTTGTATATACCGCAAACTATCAACTCGATGTTGTCACTTTCTAGCGAGAACCGTACACGTAATCATATTCAACGTCACAAGTGTGTTTAACACACGCACAACATGCCCGTTGTTAATACCAACAAAGGTTTTCTGTGTGAGGTAAATCGTCACGACATTGATTGATAGATAGCATTTATTTATATCCTACTCATAACATGTACAGCGAGTGCCGAGCCATGATCACTTGTCAATTCCTCATAGTTCAACATGAAGGAGTAGGTCGGTGTCAATTGTGTCTTTCGAAATCAACTCTTTCGCGAACTGGTATTTTACGCTGCTGCCAGTACAATCAGCCGAATACGTTACGGCAAAGTGGGGCACAATGTATAGTCACCAAATGTTTTGTTATCCATTAGGTACGCGAAAGTTGTTTGTTGTTTAACGTCGGACAATTCCAGCTATATGACGGCGGTCTGTAAATAATCTAGTGATTGACGTCATGAGCATTGATCTGGGATGCGATGACATGCATCAACCAGATTTTCACGGGGGAGATGCGCGAATAAAGTGGATGGTACAAAGTTGTTGTTGTTTGTTGTTTAACGCCGCACTCAACAATATTCCAGCTATATGACGGCGATCCGTAAATAATCGAGTCTAGACCAGACAATCGATCTACGCAATGGGGATACGATGACATGCATCAACCATGATACGACGTTCATCAACCTTGTCCCAGGCTTAAAACAGAATGATCTCTTGATCAACTGCTTTATGCATACATAACAAGGAAGGAAAAGGGCCATCGGTGTGTTCCTGAATTGATAATATCATAATCATTTTTCAATATCTTCAAAACTGTTGTACTGAGGTTTTATACTGGGAAATGACATCGAGGCCACTTAATTGGAAATAGATGCTCAACATTGCATCATCACGTCCAAACTCGATTATTAACATACCACCGCCATATAGCAGGAATATTGGTGAGTGCGGCATCATATAACAAACAAACAAAACAAACAAAACCTTGCTTTCAATTCAACATGTTCTGTTGAATAGTGTTGTGTGCGATGTACTTAAGAGGACAATGCCGATTATTTTTACATTTCCTGACTTGTAAGGAAGGGTATATTACATATATTCACAGGTAGACGTCGGTAACACAATGAGCTTCTACTACATTAAGGTGGCGAAGGAATCGGAAAAACTACCTGGATATGGCTTCCGTAAGGCCGATGCGGAGGAGATCGCCATTATTACACAACGCCTGACCAGACCGACGTACAGCAGTCTCATACACACTGAGGATAGCCAGTCAGTACACAACTACCAATTCATTCGTGAACAGAGCAGTAAGAGACGTACACCATCTGCATGCCAGAAAAGACCACTATCGGCACACAGGAAGAGTACAAATGATCGTAGATTCACTGACTGGGAGTTACAGCGCGTGTTGAGACGATTACAAAAACCCACTGAGACGTCCGAACATAGACGGTTTTTCCACGAAGACGATTTGAGACCTGCCCAAGCTGTCACATCAGTTAACCGACCGAAAACGGGTGACGAAAAAACTAAATTTTTGGAGCGACTGGTTCGACCCACAACAGCAAGTAGGGCAAAGAGTGTTAATGGTTGTCATCTGTGTGATGAGAAAAGTCGAGAGAAGAATAAAACATTAGCACCGTTTGAGTATGTTTACGCGAACGATACCGAATTTGAACAGGCAGTGGTTGAGGAAATCGTCGAGCGTGTACGATCCTCGACTCATGCCAGTACTCGGGGTGCGAAGCAATGTTGTCGACTGACACCAGCCCGTGTGGATGAAGTGGAAATCCGAAAAGGGCTGCCATTAGTCAGTGGTCTACCAAGGAGTAACACTGTGAAAGAAATTGTGCACAGGTTGCATCCCCCGAGAGTCCACGGATACAGAAGTGCAACAACGCCTGTCTCTATATCCTAACGGTTCTTGCTATGGTTCATTAGGTGATTATACAGATCTCTATGCCCAGGTTATCCATTAAATGTAACTATATAGATATGACCAGCAGCAATGGGCAATCAGTTAAAATCAACTACACATTAACCATAATTTATAACATAGAACCATGTAGAACCACGTTAATTTACCAGCCTTTCTTCATGTTGATATATCCCGAACTGTCATCTGTCTTTATACATCTACGTGTGGCACTGATGGTATGTTGATAACTGACCAAGATACCCATATTTGGGTTGATACTAGAATACTGTATGTTCCTTTAAGATGATCGCAAGTACTGTGTCATATCATATGATACACAACAGCAGAAGTTGAACAGGAAGTTAAATAACTATTGCAATGGAACAGTTACAAAACATGTCATTACATAATCGATTTCGGCTTCTGTATTTCAATCTGAGTATGTTACTTTGAAACTAAAAATAAACATAATTTTTAAAAATAATTTTGGAAAAAAATGTTTTGTCACAGAATTAGAAAAGAATAAGGGTTTCGAAATTTTATTATATATATCAGACATATATAGTAAGCGGTGATCAACCTTTTGAAGGTGTGTGCATATGATCAGGAAGACATATCTCTTTGTGTTAATTTGACAATCAATGTAGATTCCGCCATACATTACCACTGCCTAACCTAGATATTTGGAGTAAACTAGGATTAAATAAAACATATTTTTTCGTTCTTAGTTCTTCGTGTTGTGATTGGATTTCATTCCTTGCATGAACTAGATGTACACGCTGTAATTAGTATGTCATATTTTAAACAACATGAGACGCACAAACGTATGCGACGCCACATAGTCCCCGAAGTAAAGTTAAGTTTAAGGTTAAAAGTAAATGGGTATAAGCAACTGGAACTGTGAAGGGGATGAGTATAGGCTACTAGAACTATGAACGGGTGAGTATAGGCTACTGGAACTGTGAAGGTGATACGTATAGGCTACTAGAACTGTGAAGGGGGTGAGTAAAGGCTACTTGAACTGTAAAGGTGATGAGTATAGGTTACTAGAAATGTGAAGGGGTGAGTATAGGCACATAGAACCGTGAAGTTGATGAGTATAGACTACTAGAACTGTGAAGGTGATAGGTATAGGCTACTAGAAGTGTGATGGGAATGTGGATAGGCTACAAGAATTGTAAAGGTGATGAGAATAGGTTAGTAGAACTGTGAAGGGGATGAGTATAGGCTACTAGAACTGTGATGGGAATGTGGATAGGCTACTAGATCTGTGAAGGGGATGAGTATAGACTACTAGAACAACAAAGGTGATGAGTAAAGACCACTAGAACTGTAAAGGGGAAAAGTATAGGCTACTGGAACTGTGAAGGTGATGAGTATAGGCAACTATAACTGTGATGGGAATGTTGATAGGCTGCTAGAACTGGGAAGTTGATGAGTATAGACTACTAGAACTGTGAAGGGGGTGAGTATAGGTTACTAGAACTGTGAAGGGGATGATTATAGGCAAGTAGAACTGTGAAGGGGATGAGTATAGGCAAGTAGATCTGTGAAGGGGATGATTATAGGCAACTAGAACAGTGAAGGGGATGAGTATAGGCTACTAGAACAGTGAAGGGGATAAGTATAGACTTCTAGAACTGTGAAGGGGATACGTATAGGCTACTAGAACTGCGAATGTGCTGAGCATAGGCAACTAGAACAGTGAAGGTGATGAGTATAGACTACTAGAACAGCAAAGGTGATGAGTATAGGCTACTAGAACTGTGATGGGAATGTGGATAGGCTACTAGAGCTGTGATGGGAATGTGGATAGTCTACTAGAACTGTGAAGTTGGTGAGTATAGACTACTAGAACTGTGAAGGGGTGAGTAAAGGCTTCTTGAACTGTAAAGGTGATGAGTATAGGTTACTAGAAATGTGAAGGGGATGAGTAGAGACTACTAGAACTGTGAAGGGGTGAGTAAAGGCTTCTTGAACTGTAAAGGTGATGAATATAGGTTACTAGAAATGTGAAGGGGGTGAGTAGAGACTACTAGAACGTCGAAGGTGATGAGTACAGGCTACTAGAAGTGTGATGGGAATGTGGAACGGCTACAAGAATTGTGGAGGTGATGAGTATAGGTTAGTAGAACTGTGAAGGGGGTGAGTATAGACTGCTAGAACGGTGAAGGTGATGAGTATAGGCTACTAGAAGTGTGATGGGAATGTGGATAGGCTACAAGAATTGTAAAGGTGATGAGTATAGGTTAGTAGAACTGTGAAGGGGATGAGTATAGGAACGAAGAACTGTGAAGGGGTGAGTTTAGGCAAATAGAACTGTGAAGGCGATGAGTATAGACTGCTAGAACTGTGAAGTGGGTAAGTATAGGCTACTGGAACTGTGAAGGGGATAAGTATAGACTACTAGAACGGTGAAGGTGATGAGTATAGGCTACTAGAAGTGTAATGGGAATGTGGATAGGCTACAAGAATTGTAAAGGTGATGAGTATAGGTTAGTAGAACTGTGAAGGGAATGTGGATAGGGTACTAGATCTGTGAAGGGGATGAGTATAGACTACTAGAACAGCAAAGGTGATGAGTAAAGACCACTAGAACTGTAAAGGGGAAAAGTATAGGCTACTGGAACTGTGAAGGTGATGAGTATAGGCAACTATTACTGTGATGGGAATGTGGATAGGCTATTAGAACTGTGATGGGAATGTGGACAGGCTGCTAGAACTGTGAAGTTGATGAGTATAGACTACTAGAACTGTGAAGGGGGTGAGTATAGGTTACTAGAACTGTGAAGGGGATGATTATAGGCAAGAAGAACTGTGAAGGGGATGAGTATAGGCAAGTAGATCTGTGAAGGGGATGATTATAGGCAACTAGAAATGTAAAGGTGATGAGTATAGGCTACTAGAACTGTGATGGGAATGTGGATAGGCTACGCGATCTGTGAAGGTGGTGAGTATAGACTTCGATAACTTTGAAGGGGATTATTATAGGCTACTAGAGCTGTAAAGGGGATAAGTATAGACTTCTAGAACTGTGAAGGGGGTACGTATAGGCTCCTAGAACAGTGAAGGTGCTGAGTATAGACTACTAGAACTGTGAAGGGGATGAGTATAGGCAGCTAGAACGTTGAATGTGATGAGTATAGGCTACTAGAACTCTGAAGGTTAGGAGTATAAGCTACTAGAACTGTGAAGGTGATGAGTTTAGTCAATTAGAACTGTAAAGGTGACGAGAATAGGCAACTTGAACTGTGAAGATAATAAGTATAGACTGCTAGAACTGTGAAGGGGATAAGTATAGACTACTAGAACGGTGAAGGTGATGAGTATAGGCTACTAGAACTGTGATGGGAATGTGGATAGGCTACAAGACTTGTGAAGGTGATGAGTATGGACTACTAGAACTGAGAATGGGGTGAGTATAGGCAACTAGAATCTCAAAGGTGATGAGTATAGGTTAGTAGAACTGTGAAGGGGATAAGTATGGGCAAGAAGAACTGTGAAGGGATGAGTATAGACTACTAGAACTGTGAAGGGGATAAGTATAGACTACTAGAACTGTGAAGGAGATGAGTATAGGCTACTAGAACTGTGATGTGGATGTGGATAGGGTACTAGAACTGTGAAGGGGGTGAGTATAGGCAACTAGAACTGTGAAGGGGATGAGAATAGGCAACTAGAACTGTGAAGGTGATGGGAATAGTCTACTAGAACTTTTAAGGGGATGAGTATAGGCAACTAGAACTTTGAAGGGGTGAGTATAGGCAACTAGGACGGTGAAGGTGATGAGTATAGAGTACTAGAAGTGTGAAGGGAATGAGTATAGGCAACTAGGACAGTGAAGGTGATGAGTATAGACTATTAGAACTGTGAAGGTGATGGGTATAGACTACTAGAACTTTGAAGGTGATGGGTATAGACTACTTAATCTGTGAAGGTGATGAGTATAGACTATTAGAAGTGTGAAGGGGGTGAGTAGTGGCAACTAGGACTGTGTAGGTGATGAGTATAGAGTACTAGAAGTGTGAAGGGAATGAGTATAGGCAACTAGGACAGTGAAGGGGAAGAGTATAGGCTACTAGAACTGTGAAGGCGATGGGTATAGACTACTAGAACTCTGAAGGTGATGGGTATAGACTACTAGAACTGTGAAGGGGATGAAAATAGGTAACTAGAACTGTGAAGAGGATGAGTATAGGCTAATAGAATAGAGATGGGGATAGGAATAGGCTACTAGAACTGTAAAGGGGGTGAGTATAGGCTACTGGAACTGTGAAGGGGGTGAATATAGACTACTAGAACTGTGAAGTGGGTGAGTATAGGCAACTAGAAATGTGAAGGGGATGAGTAAAGGCAACAAGAACTGTGAAAGTGATTAGTATAGGCAACTAGAACTGTGAAGGTGATGGGTATAGACTACTAGAACTTTGAAGGGGATGAGTATAGGCAACTAGAACTTTGAAGGGGTGAGTATAGACAACTAGGACGGTGAAGGTGATGAGTATAGAGTACTAGAAGTGTGAAGGGAATGAGTATAGGTAACTAGGACAGTGAAGGTGATGAGTATAGACTATTAGAACTGTGAAGGTGATGGGTGTAGACTACTAGAACTGTGAAGGGGATGAAAATAGGTTTCTAGAACTTTGAAGGGGTTGAGTATAGGCTACTAGAACTGTGAAAGGGGTGAGTATTGGCAACTAGGACGGTGAAGGTGATGAGTATAGACTAGTAGAACTGTGAAGATTAGGAGTATAGGCTACTAGAACTGTGAAGGTGATGAGTGTAGACTATTAGAACAATGAAGGTGATGGGTATAGACTAATGGAACTGTGAAGGGGATGAAAATAGGTTTCTAGAACTGTGAAGGGGATGAGTAAAGGCAATTAGAAGTTTGAAGGGAATAAGTATAGGCAACTAGAACTGTGAAGATTAGGGGTATAGGCTACTAGAACTGTGAAGGTGATGAGTATAGGCTACTAGAACTCTGAAGGTTAGGAGTATAAGCTACTAGAACTGTGAAGGTGATGAGTTTAGTCAATTAGAACTGTGAAGGTGACGAGAATAGGCAACTAGAACTGTGAAGATAATAAGTATAGACTGCTAGAACTGTGAAGGGGATACGTATAGACTACTAGAACGGTGAAGGTGATGAGTATAGGCTACTAGAACTGTGATGGGAATGTGGATAGGCTACAAGACTTGTGAAGTTGATGAGTATGGACTACTAGAACTGAGAATGGGGTGAGTATAGGCAACTAGAATCTCAAAGGTGATGAGTATAGGTTAGTAGAACTGTGAAGGGGATAAGTATGGGCAAGAAGAACTGTGAAGGGATGAGTATAGACTACTAGAACTGTGAAGGGGATAAGTATAGACTACTAGAACTGTGAAGGAGATGAGTATAGGCTACTAGAACTGTGATGTGGATGTGGATAGGGTACTAGAACTGTGAAGGGGGTGAGTATAGGCAAATAGAACTGTGAAGGGGATGAGAATAGGCAACTAGAACTGTGAAGGTGATGGGAATAGTGTACTAAAACTTTTAAGGGGATGAGTATAGGCAACTAGAACTTTGAAGGGGTGAGTATAGGCAACTAGGACGGTGAAGGTGATGAGTATAGAGTACTAGAAGTGTGAAGGGAATGAGTATAGGCAACTAGGACAGTGAAGGTGATGAGTATAGACTATTAGAACTGTGAAGGTGATGGGTATAGA